AAACCTTTGAACACTATCCCTCTACATCTCCATTCTTGTACCTCCCTCTCCTCATCCAAAAAACGAGCTGAAAACCTAGCTCTTCCATATTGCCTTCTCTCCTACTTAGTCCCTGACTTAATATCTAATGATGGCATATATGTACATTAACTTTAGGTGTACTCATTATTGATCCATTTTTGTTTTTTGTTTTTTTTATTATTATTTCCTTTTTTATTATATTTTTACCTTATTATTTTGTGCTATGTCTTTTTATTTCTTTTATTAGTTCACTTTCATTTTTGAAATTCTGATATTTGGCTGATGTATGTAAATGTGCATGTATGTGTTTTGGGTATTTTGAAAGGTCCAAATAACGTGGTCAGCAGTGGTCCTGTAGTGGTAAATGAGTTAGAGGTTGGCTGGCAAATTGTGCATGACAAGATGGGCTACTGTCTGTAATTGTTCACTTAGATTAAGGGTGGCAAACAGAGTCCAGCAATTAACTGCTGGACAATTAACTGAGTTGGATTAGGTGCGTTTGAGCAGGAAAATCACCAAACGGTGCAGGAGTCTGGCCCTTAGTTCCCCACCCCCATATATTTAGTGGATCTATAAGCTCAGTGGAGTGCATAAAGTGTTGAGTGAGCAGGAGTATTAAAATGGATGGTAAAGGTGCAAAAAATTAAAAATGTTGCATATGAAGTCCCTTCAGGATGTGAAGTTTCCACAGCCATTTAAGGATGATTCTGATACTTTATAACTACAGAATGGCTCCAGCAGTGTCGGTGCATTTTTCAGTGGCTGGTCATCTTGCTGTCTATGTTGTGTTAATTGATAAACGTCCAAATGAGCAAGGTGTTGTCAGATTTCATAAGTAAAAAAATGGCAGATTTTTTAAAACACAACTGCTCCAATGATGGAAACAATTAAATGTAACGCAATCCACTACTAGCACATATGGGGAGGAAACTATTGCCCTTTGGCTGAGGCCTAAAAAATGTTTATTTAGATCAGTGCATAATTTACAGAGCACACCAAGGGCATTCTGACATGGCTGCGGTTGGAACTCCTGTAAACATCTCCATGTAATTTTAAGCAAAGCACCAGTGGAACAATGTGTTGCCCATGTATTGCAACAGACCAGCTATGGAATGTTCTTTTGCCTCACAGCGAAATCTGAAATAGAGTATGATCTGTGATGAAGACAGTACAATTTTAAGCTATCGGACCATGTGTGTGGTGATATATGTGACTTTTTTCGTATGTCCTTCATGAGCAAGTTTTGTGAAGTGGCGTAACGGAGCTGTGATGCCAAACGAAAGGTGATTTCAGCGTTTTGACATCCACAGGAAACCACCCCACCTTTTAGTAATTGTAAAAATATACATACATGCAGGGTGGGGCAGCCATGTGACCCAGGGGTCATTGATGTTATGAAAGTGTTCGCAACCTGTTGCTGTGAGGGTGACAGCTTTGAGATGGTGGAATATAAATATTTGGCCCATTTCCTGTGATTCAGCGTTTCCTGATGGAGCTTCATGTGTTACCAGAAGATCTGACCTCCACCGCTTACTTGAAACTCTTACAGGGAACATTAAAGGAAGGAACCTCAAGCTATGCCCTGTTCTGGTTCTTCATCCAACCCAAAAAACTTCAATTACAGTCACAAAGATGTTTGAGGATTGCTGCTGTGTTCTGAGCAAGCGCAGGTTATCTGTGTAGGTCTTCAGTTCTGCTTCCTGTTCATCACTTCTAAATGAAGTCACCAGGATGAGTGGCAAGCTTATAACAAAAGTCCAGTAGACTTACAAGTCGAAGCAACTGTAGTTCAGCAGGTCAAGCTTTCCCTATCAGCAGTGCCCTCTTGTGTCAGCTTGCAAAAATTGCACCTGCCTATTTTTGCACCAAATGCTAAATGACTAATTTCAGTTAGCAGTACCCTTAGTATTTACCGTCTTGCTCTTTTTTTTGACAGTGGTCCAAAGAGTCAAAACACAAAAGCATTTAGGAAGCAAACAAAAGACGATAACACAACAACATTAAAAGAAGGCACAACAGCTTTAAGGGAAACATGGCAGTGTTGCCATCAGTTAACCGTTAACCAGTTCAGCTAATGAGCTTAATGTTGGTGTGCTCTTCTAATATTGTTTTTTTTTTTTTGCCTTAATATTGTGTTCTCCTTATTTGTGCTTCCCGTAATAATGTTCCTTCTTCTTTGATGTTGTCTTATTCCTTATTTTGTGTTCTACTTTAATATTGTTGTGTTCTCTTCATATTTTGTTCTCCCTTAATGTTGCTTTGTTCTGTCATAATGTTGTTGTGTTTTGCCTTAATATTGTTATGTTCTGTCAATATGTTGTTGTCTTCTGCCTGAATGATGAATGAGGTGTTCTTATCTTTGTTTGCTTCCTAAACGCTGTTGTGTTTTGACTATTAGGGCCACAGTAATTTTTGCATATGATGGTGGTGCACTTATACACTGCTCAAAAAAATAAAGGGAACACTTAAACAACACAATATAACTCCAAGTAAATCAAACTTCTGTGAAATCAAACTGTCCACTTAGGAAGCAACACTGATTGACAATCAATTTCACATGCTGTGCAAATGGAATAGACAACAGGTGGAAATCATTGGCGATTAGCAAGACACACTCAATAAAGGAGTGGTTCTGCAGGTGGGGACCACAGACCACTTCTCAGTACCTATGCTTTCTGGCTGATGTTTTGGTCACTTTTGAATGTTGGTGGTGCTTTCACACTCGTGGTAGCATGAGACGGACTCTACAACCCACACAAGTGGCTCAGGTAGTGCAGCTCATCCAGGATGGCACACCAATGCGAGCTGTGGCAAGAAGGTTTGCTGTGTCTGTCAGCGTAGTGTCCAGAGCCTGGAGGCACTACCAGGAGACAGGCCAGTACACCAGGAGACGTGGAGGAGGCCGTAGGAGGGCAACAACCCAGCAGCAGGACCGCTACCTCCACCTTTGTGCAAGGAGGAACAGGAGGAGCACTGCCAGAGCCCTGCAAAATGATCTCCAGCAGGCCACAAATGTGCATGTGTCTGCACAAACGGTTAGAAACCGACTCCATGAGGATGGTATGAGGGCCCGACATCCACAGATGGGGGTTGTGCTCACAGCCCAACACCGTGCAGGACGCTTGGCATTTGCCAGAGAACACCAGGATTGGCAAATTCGCCACTGGCGCCCTGTGCTCTTCACAGATGAAAGCAGGTTCACACTGAGCACATGTGACCGACGTGACAGAGTCTGGAGACGCTGTGGAGAGCGATCTGCTGCCTGCAACATCCTTCAGCATGACCGGTTTGGCAGTGGGTCGGTAATGGTGTGGGGTGGCATTTCTTTGGAGGGCCGCACAGCCCTCCATGTGCTCGCCAGAGGTAGCCTGACTGCCATTAGGTACCGAGATGAGATCCTCAGACCCCTTGTGAGACCATATGCTGGTGCAGTTGGCCCTGGGTTCCTCCTAATGCAGGACAATGCTAGACCTCATGTGGCTGGAGTGTGTCAGCAGTTCCTGCAAGATGAAGGCATTGAAGCTATGGACTGGCCCGCCCGTTCCCCAGACCTGAATCCGATTGAGCACATCTGGGACATCATGTCTCGCTCCATCCACCAACATCACGTTGCACCACAGACTGTCCAGGAGTTGGCGGATGCTTTAGTCCAGGTCTGGGAGGAGATCCCTCAGGAGACCATCCGCCACCTCATCAGGAGCATGCCCAGGCGTGGTAGGGAGGTCATACAGGCACGTGGAGGCCACACACAATACTGAGCCTCATTTTGACTTGTTTTAAGTACATTACATCAAAGTTGGATCAGCCTGTAGTGTGTTTTGCCACTTTAATTTTGTGACTCCAAATCCAGGCTTCCATTGGTTAATAAATTTGATTTCCATTGATGATTTTTGTGTGATTTTGTTGTCAGCACATTCAACTTTGTACAGAACAAAGTATTCAATGAGAATATTTCATTCATTCAGATCTAGGATGTGTTATTTGAGTGTTCCCTTTATTTTTTTTGAGCAGTGTACATTGGATGTTGGGCTTAAAAGAAGGATGCTGTTTATCTTATTAAAGCATATTGAAGGTTAGCATACAGCCAAACAGATGCACAAGTACAACAATTAGAACAGTTAGTTTTATAGGAAATAATTCAAGCTAGAGGTCCAAAACTTCTGGTCTGTGATTCATTTTCTTTTATCTAATGGAGCAATTCAACTAAATATGCTTGTCAAATTCACGCCTTAACTCACAAAATCCAAAACACAGATATTTTTAAGGTGACTTTTATTATTTCTTATATCCACACATTTCCAGGCAGTGTGTTTTTCACAGATAATGCAACATAGACTTGGGCATAAAATTGAACCACAAAAGGGAGTAGCACACTGGAGCAGTGACGTTGCGTACACATCCCAAGGAAGAGGAGGAGGCGGAAGAGTCCTTCATCCTGGACAGTACCAAGCTCCCTTCTTTTTCTACCCGGAGATCACGCTTTAAAAGCACTCTGCAGTGGCCTTTGCTTAACTAGAATGCTTGCTTTTAAAAACAGTACAACCCTCTCACAGTATAAAGTCCTTTCAAATTTCAGCCATTTGATTGTATAGTCACATAGTCCCACTGTATCCAAAGCCACTTCTTCCACAGTTAACTGTTATTTATAACTTAGTTATTCTCATTGTTAGGTCTTGTAAAGAATGCATTTACACTATATTAGTTAAGTTTTCACTTTCTTCAAATAGTTTACACTTGCACTAGTAATCGTATTTGGTATAGTTATCATCATTTTAGTTTTCGAAGTACAAGTTGATAGCTCATATCTGACTTTTGTGGGTTTGTTTTTTTTTGTTTTTTTTTTATGACAGTGATGATACCGAAGTTTGATGTAATGAAAAGCACACATTTGTTGTGGCACATCAGTCAGTAGTGTTAGCTAAAACATTTGCTATTAGTCTCCAGACAATTTCTGCACCACTCATTTGCACATAACAATAGAAGTCCTTAATCAAGAACAGTATTTTTATGCTTACTGTCAGATTTGCAGGGTGGTTCCACATAAAACTCCTGTCTCGGGAGTAATGAACATTTTACTGTTCTGGATCAGCACTGCATGGTATGTATTGAAGTTACTCTTCTGCAGATAGACTGACAGAAATTAAAATGTTACACCGTTTTAAAATTGCATTTAAAATGCATAATGGGTAATTTAGATGTTACACCAAAGCTTGATTCATATTGCACCTGTAACCACTTACTTGAATATTTGCCACCCATATATGAAACAGCATTTTAAAAAGTCAGTGTGGACAAAGCCATTGCATTGTTTCAAGGTATATTCCAGTGCGTTTTTGGAAAGCATGGCTTTGACCAGATCCTCTTCACCTAAATCTAGAGCCTCTAAGAAATCACAGAGAGGCACAGAGTAAAATCATCGCATAATTGATGGATGATTAAAAACCTGTCACGAATGATGTTATTTGAAAAGATGGAAAGATTTACTCTCACTGCATTGCTTTTTCATTTTGTTTGCATGTACAATGAGTTTTTTCTTAATTCACCTTTTATGAAAACTCAAGTCAAACCTATGTGCATTGACTTGAATGCTGTTTAATGTATTTGAAGCTAAACGATCAAAACACTCCTTTGCAATGGGAAGATACATGAGATACAGTGTAATCCACCGAGATTAAATAGAAATTTTACAGCTTTAAACACTGGCATCACACATTCAGATATGTAAAAGAACTGCAATCAAGTGTACCGAGCCATCTGAGTGATAATCAAATAACTCTGTCCTTCCTAATTATACTCTGCAAATAATGCAGTCCAGAGTTTACCCAAAGGAATTTGCAAACAGATTATGTGATTTCTGTTCCTCTCTGCATTTTGCTGCCTGGTGTCCACTGCATTACCCTGATAAGGCGGTAGTAAGCCTGTGATGTCTTGTGTTCATCTAGAATGCAATTATCTCCAATAGAGCCCCAGTTACACAGACCAGGCCTGCAGCTTTTTGACCAGATGGGCTTTTTGCCTGACCGTCGTCATGGCAACCCGTGCCTTGAAGTTGCCTCACTTTGTGCTTTGCTTGGACTGCCTGTCTGTTTCTGTTTATTTTGTTAAGTGTCACACTGTAACACGGCCTAATTATGCAGTCTGAACAAAGCGTCTGACAGTCAGCATCAATTTTTGTCTACATCCTGGTATTACTGTAACAGAAGCTTATGGTTTGAGCAGTATTCCCAGTTGTCACTGTGAGTATACTGGTATTTGTACGTATGTATGTGCAAGGTATTTTAGCAGTACTGTAGTGTGTTAGCTTATTTCCTGTGTTTTATGACAGCACCAAAATTATATCAGCGTTACCACAGTAACAGCATCTCAGCTCTCTTTTGCCAGCAACGCCCCTCTTTTCTCTGATTCCTGGTTGCTAGGAGACATGAGTGCTCCTACTGACACAGAATTTTCTGCTTGTTGCGCACATTTGATTTTCCTAACGTTTCCCCCATCAGTACTATGCACAGCCTTATAGCTGATGTTTTGTTTCTGCTTAAGGAATCATTCAACAGAGAAAACATATAGTTGGATATATAGATATTAATATAGTATATTTTATATTTTTATTATAAATTAGTTTTTTGTTAATTTTGTTTATTCTTAAGTTATATGAGGAGTACTAAGGTGACTTCTTTGAAATGAATGTTTGCTAGAAGTTTCCCTCCCAGCCTCCCCCCCTTTTTTTTAGTCCTCCTGGGGCTGTGAGCACGTTACACAGGAAGACAATATAACTACTGTATTATACTTTTTTGAATGAGAATTATTGTTGTTATTACTAAGTTACTCTGAACAGATAACAGCATTCAGCAAAGGGCATGTATAAAAACATGACACACTAGATTTAGCGCCGAGCTCAAATTTCTCTCCCCCTCTTTGACGTGCTCACGTGGTCTGGGTCACAATAGATCACACAATAGATTCACAAGCACAGTATGAGCATGGGGACCAGCCTCTTGTGCAGTCCAGCCTGGATCGAACAATCCAGTCTGGATTTGGTCCAGTCAAGGCCCAAGCACTTAAACGGGCATGATTTCATTCATTGGACGGACCTCCAGTCCTTTTGTTTAGACAACACAACAAGGAAAGATATGTCCAAAGGTAGCATAAAGAAGTGAAGCTATCAGGATGTAATAAACCTTCATTTCTGTTCTGAAACTGGGTTTAAGCTTTCATTTCTTTCTTCAAACCTCTGGTCAGTGTTGGCAGTCTCACCACTTGAACCTTTCTTGCTGTCTTGGTGCAACCTGCTTGAACCCTCAGCTCAAACTTCACCTCCAAAAACAGCTTTCAGCCTAGGTGACCGCTCCACCTGGTACAGCCTGCCGTCAAACAGCCTTCTGATTGGTTTACCCCACAAAGACACCAATCCTCATCGGTTATTTGTTCAGAGGCTTGTTGGCTTTGGGTGTCCCAGTGGTTTCTTCAGTCGTGCCCTCTGTAGCGACAGTAGGAGCAACTGTGGCATCAATCATAGCAGTTTGGTCAGCTTTGGAGGCAGAGATGTCTGGCTCCCAGAGGAAGAATTCGTGAAGAAGTGTATTCACTGTATCAGGGCATTCCATCATGACCATGTGACTGCCCTCCTCAATCACTTTCAGGAAGGCAAATAAAAGGATCTGGAAATGCACAGAATGTCATGCTTATTGTTAGCAAACATCTTTGAGACAAGGCTTCATATGAGGTTGCCAGTTAAAGTTTTGTCCCAAGGTTGATGCTACATGCTGACACTGAAAACTGTAGAATAAACGCCTGTGTGCAAAATGGCTCCAAGTCTAATATATACTGCACTACGTAGATAGCAAATGCCATTAGCTCAAAATCTAGCTAGTAGGCTCTATACTAGGCTCTATAGGGAGCCATTTTAGTTCAGCCACAGAGTATTGTGAATTTTTCAAAAGCGCTACTTTTTGCATTCACTTGCCAATGAATGCGCTCACTAGTGATAATTTACATTTAAGTGCTCAGTAACATGCTGTAAAACTCTGCTGGTCCATTTTGGCAACCATAAGACTAATCAAGCAATGTCTGGAGTAAGTTAAGTCTTAAAATTTCAAGACCAATCAAGCAATGTTTAGAATAAATAATGCTGGCACGCTTAATGTTCAGCGGAGTGAACACTCTTCTCCTCAGTAAAATAAAAAGCCTTTGTTTCATCCAGTACACATCTGCCACTTCTGCAGTGACATCTGCATATGCGTAATACTCCTTAACGAATGATACGCTTCACACTGCTCCTGTTGTTCACACTGGTCTTGCCAGCCATGGAGTCTTAACTATAGCACAGTGGCAAATCATGTTACTGTGTTGGACACTATCTCATCATACTTCTCTTTATAAAGCTAATGAGAATGAAATTGTGAAGGATATTATGAACAAAATTTTTGTAGCGTTCAACATTTCGCTGTACCTCTGCCATGCGCTGATCTTCTTCCATTGGCACAAACTTGTCGTAGAGGCCATGCACCAGCAAGATGGGTACAGTGAGCTCGGCATGGTACACCTCATCTCCCTCGGGCCAATACTGACCACTCATCATAGCTCGCAGCACGAATGGAGAGACGTTAAAGGCATTTCCTTCCTTCAGCAGCTGCTTCTCTTTAGCGCCCTGTCTGGCAAAGCCAGCCCTAAAGGGAGGGGGTGGAGAAAGAGAGAAAGATAAGAGAGATAAAATGTGCAAAAGCCCCATACAGAGAACAAGCGAGAAAGATGCAAAGAGTAATAACAATAAACATAATATATGGTGGAATAGTTTTATGAAGGTGCAGTTATCTACAAATAAACTATTATTAGTTCAGTCCAGTGACCATTGAATGCCCAAGGCATGTGCAGCCAATAAACAGTGCATTAGGTTGACGTTAATGAGCTTTAAATAAATATGTAGTCTATTAAGAACAGCCATTATATCGCCTACTATTCAGCTGCATTGAGGTGCTGAGTTTGTGTTTGAAGAAAATTCTGCCCCAACAAGAAAATTCTATCCTTGCTGCTGTCACAGTTTACATTATATATCCCTGTGCAATAAGAGTGGATGGGTGTGGCTTCGTACTTGAGGAAGCTCCAGGCGAGGCAGGGGGATAGGCAGTGCAGAATGCAGGAGGGCAGCTGGAAGATTGAGCACAGGCTGGGTTCCAGTGCAGTTGGGCCTCCCCCGTTAATCATCACCACCTTATGCACCTGCTCAGGGTACTCGTGCGCCAGAAACGTGCAGAATGATACCCTAGAGCACAAGAAACAGTAGGGAAAAGGTGCCATGTCATTGCATTTCCTAAAACGAATTAAATTAGAAAAGAAATACAGTGAAATGAAAAGAAATACAGTTCAGTTTTCCTAAATACACAAATTGAATATCTTCTAAAAATACCTTCATTTGTCAAGTGTCTAAGTTTTCTTACATCTATATAATGGGAATAGGAGCACCTAGTCCAGCAAGCTTTCTATAAAACATTAGAAAAATACAGGTAATGGTGTTGGTTACACTGACAGTTTGGCAAAAAATCTCACTTTATACAATTTTTTCCTTACCTCAAATGTAGTCACTCAGCCAAGGTATGTTTAGTTGTCCAATTTAGATTTTTTTTAGTTCTGCACTGGATCTATGAGGCTAATTTAGCTAACAAGTAATGGAAGCTTATGTATACCAATTAGCACCTATTTTTATCTATAATAATGGACAAAAGTCAGGCTTACAACTGAAATTTGTCTATATGTCATGTCTGTAGTGTGTATAGAAACTACGTAAGCAAGTGTGTGAACATTTAGGAGTGCAGTTTACATAATGCTACTTGATGAGATATAACATTGCTCCAGTGTATTACTAAAGAAGAGAACTTTGGACACCAAATATATCTTGGCTGATTGACTATTTGGGGTAGGGAGAAAATTGTGCAAATTTTTTGCCAAACTGTCACGTATAACTGTAAACGTAAGCTTACCCATATGAGTGGCCAATGAGGATGTTGCGCTTGCGGGCATATCTCTTGAATATAGCCCGCAGGTCCTCAGCCAGAGCGTAGAAGGTGTAAGCTGCTGCTATTTGAGGCGCCGTACTGGCCCCGTGCCCTGCCAGGTCAGGGGCAACGACCTCATAACCCAGTCTGGAGAAGAAGTCCAGTTGGCGGCCCCAGATGTCCAGTGAGCCCCCAACACCATGGATGAAAAAGAGCGCTACGTCAGAGTGTGTGCCTTTGCAGCTGGTGATGCGTCGCTCAGAGTCGATGAGGACGGTGCGCTTAGGCTTCCGCCTGCGGCGCCTCGGCGGGGGCGCAGGCCTCTGCTGGTCTGAGTCCGGAAGTGGAGGTGCAGGTTTGGGGTCAGGAGAGGAGGGGGCGGTCGAGTAGTCAGCCAGTTCCACCTCCACAGTGCTACACTGTTCCACATCTCCGTTCTGACACTGCAGGATCTCTGAGTGCAGGACGTCACCCAGATTCTCAATCACAAGCTGTCCATTGCGGTACACAGTGATCTTACGCTTGCAGTGGATGCTGACCCCCTGTTCCTGCTGTGAACCAGAGGTGGCTTGACGTTCGGGTAGGATGTGGCGTACCCGCAGCACGCGGCCTGGCTTCACCTCCACAAACTCAAAGCCATCAGCAGGACCTGCATCAGAAGACTCCACAGGCAGGACCACATTGGCAGTTTTGCCCGTCAGACAGCACAGGATACCCTCGGTGATGCTAGTGAGCATGCTGCTTGCTTACCTGCACAGATGCATACAGGTTCTGATCAACAAACATAGCATAGGTAATTAAATCAAGGTTGATCAAAAGTTTGATTCCCTGTCCAGGCAGAATCACCACTGCTATACCAATAAGTCCTTGGCCAAGACTCCTAATGCTACATTGCCTACTATTATATCTTGTCCTAGATAAAAGCATCTGCTAAATACACACATCTAAACACATGTTAAATTAGTGTTTTCCACTTCTGTCTTCGGGAAATGAGAAACACGAAACGCTCTATACCAGCTTCCAACAGTTCTGAACCAAGCAGTCAAAAACTCAGTCCCTTGTAGAGTTATGTTAGGAGCTGGGATAAACTGGTGAAAAATGGGCACTGTCAGGGGGATCCCTAGGCTTACACTGGAAAACACTGTATTGCAGCATTCACAGACACATCCACAAAACCAATTACAAACGCCTTCAAGACAGTAAGGCATTCAGTCAAGTCCTTATTTTCTCTGTTTGTATCATCAGTGCATGCCACTGCTTTAGTAACCTGAAAGGTTACTTCAGTAATCTGTCTTCCAGTCACCCAAGGAACTTCCTAAAGTGTCCATCATTTTAGAGGGACAACTTGGTATCCAATAATAATCAAATGTTCAAGTGGAACTACACTGGGTGTTATGGATGAAATCTCACTACTAAATCAAATTGTCTGTCAAGAATGAGTCTGTTTCTTATGTATCCAAGACACTGGCTCAAGTACCAAACAGTAAGTCCTAAATCCTTGACTTTGTTGCAAATGTGGTGGTGTTGGCATGAAGTTGTTACACAGTGTGGACCACTGTAACAAGCCTTACAGGCATGGAATGCAGGCGCAGAGAGGCACACAAAAGAGACTGCGTGCAATTGCTGACGTGGTGCCTGACAGCTTCTGTCAGCCTACAGAGCGTAAGCACTTTCAATGCCACAACAAAGCGTACAGTGCCTGCAGAAAAGCTTTCAGGGAGCTTCGAGTCCACGCTCATCTCCCGGGCTTAGGGCAGATGAGGATTCACATTCAAAAACATTTCTCTGCTGGTATTTAATGCTAAATACAAATCAGCAAGTACTGTACTGAAGACCCATCACCAAGTCCTGCGGGCAAAAGCATTGAAGACCAAACACTCACCCACATAAATGACCTCAGATTTGATGCGCATTAGCTAAGTGAAAATGCTAAGACAATAGGCAGTCTGTGGTGTTGTCCACCACTGTGGTGTTCATGGCAGTGAAGACACTGATTTACATTCTGACCTAGACACAGATCTAAAAATAGCCAGGGTTCTTCCACCATGCTTCCCTTGGGTATTAATAGAGAAAGTGGCCCAAAGCACATGACTGCACCAGTGCCAGCCATTCAGATGAAAGCTATTCTGGAGCCACACTTAGGTTTCAATAGAGAGTGGATGCTTGCCAACCCTCTGGTGTTGGGTCACAACTCTCGAGTACTTGCAGCTGTCCGTCAGAGGGCGTATACTGTGTCAGTTGGCTAAAATATAGACACAAAGACAAATGTTCAGACAATGGCCAAATCAGAATTCAGCTAAGAAGGATTTGTGTTGCATATATGTTTGTCACATTCAGAATTCTGCATGTGGGCACAGGCCAGAGGTCTTCAAATCCAGACCTTGAATCCAGTTTCCTTTCCTGCATCTGGTAAATGGTATATACAATCCTTGGGATGGCTCCCAAGCAATGACCATATCTGTATCATCTGTGACTTAGCAGGTAGACAGTTCGGTAGATATAGTGTAAAATGACCAGGGATATCACAGGAACGTACTACAATAAAATACCTATTGTCAGAAAAGTCAGCATCTAGTTTAGCGCAAAATTTGAAGAATGGCTGATGTGTTGTCTATACTGATAGTGTGACGCTGTACTATTGTGATAGTACTTTTCAGGTTTAGTGATATTTTAGCATTGTATTTGTATTTATAGACATTCTTTTAGCATAGGGTGCTAGTAAAAATCATCTCATTAACTTTATTAATACTAACTTCAGTATCATCTGATACTCTATCATGATACTGAATTTTATCTGTACTTTTGTCCAGTTCTATAGATAACAATGTCAGAAACCATATAAGTAAGTGTAATTGAGATCACTTAACAACAATGCATTTTGAGACAAGTACTTTATGATTATCTATGCAGTTCCTAATTGGCACAATGCAAACACGTATACATGAACTTTCATTACTAGTCAGCTACATTAGACTCAGCTCCAGTGCAACAGTAAAGAACCAAACTTCAAACACCAAACATGTCTTGGCTGATGGATTGTATTTAAGTTAAGGAGAAAATTGTGTAAATCAGATTTTTCGCCAGACTGTTCCTTAAAGAGTTAATAAGGCTTTCCCTAGCCCTAATGCTAGTGTCTCTTTCCTCTTACATAAAACATTTCACTTATTCATTTCTGTATTGATTGACTGTAGCCAGCACCTGCAACATCGGCAGCCGCAGAGCTGCATTAGTCAGCAGATTGCAGTAGCTCGTCCCCTGTGTGCAGGACGGGACCCAGACTGACTCCTGTACTCTCAGAGTGCTGATGGGAGCTGAGAGTGGGATGCGAAGCAGCAGACAGAGGAAACAGATAGATGGGTACTGCCGAGGTATAGCTCTCACAATTTGCAGTCAGAATACCGTGCATAAAAAAGAACCATTATTCATCCTTGATTTAATTAATGCATGCTAGCAGTAAAAAATTTAAAAATGGAGCAGAATTTTACTTTAAAGGGGCATTTAATAAATAGACATTAATATAAAGGATATCCAGGACAAGATGTAAAAAAGTAATTACATAGGAGAAGGGGAAAATGTTCTTTACTATATATATATATATATATATATATGTTTGTATGTGTGTGTATCAAGTAAGCAGTATGTAATTCTCACAGTGAATGTATCTTGTGTATAAACACAAACCTCAATTCCAAAAATGTGGGGACATTATGTGAAATGCTACTAAAACCAGAGTAGCATTTGCTGTAAATATACACTTATTCTAAATTGGCTGCCTGAAACACATTTTAAAAAAGCATGTTTACCACTGTTACATCACCTTTACTTTTATCAACAGTTAATAATTGTTTGGGGACTGGAGACACCATTTGATTCAGTTAATTTTTTTGCCATGTTTCTGCTATACAAGTCTTTGTTGTTGTATTTTGTGCTTCGCATTTTCAGTGGGAGACAGGTCTGGACAGCAGGCAGGCCAGTCTAGCACCTGCATGATCTGATAATGCACCCATTCTGTTATAACACAGGATGTGGTCTGGCAATGTCATCTTGGATGTCCCTGAAAAAGATTTTCGGAAGGCAACAAATGTTGCTACAAAATCTTTTAGCCTTAATGTTGCCTTCACAGTGAAAGTTACCCATGCCATGGGCACTAATACACCCCCAAACCAACACACAACATCCATTCTATGAACAGTCTGAAAGGTTGACTTGCCAGACCACAATACACATCTTCACTGTGCATCAGTTCATTTCAGATGAGCCTGAAACTATAGAAGTCGCAGCATTTGCTGCTTAGCTTGTATTTGTGTATACAGTGCCGTCTGAGAAAGCAATAAACAGTGTTTATTGAATTTGTTAAATGATTTCTGAGCCCATGTGGTGATATCCATCGCAGCATTGTGGCTGTTTTTTTAATGCAGTGCCGTCTGATGGTCACAGGCATTCAGTTGTGGTTTTCTGCCTTGCCCTTGACACTCAGAGATTTCTTTGGATTCCCCGAATCTTTTAATGATATTTTGCACTGCGGAGGGTGAAGTATCGAAAATCTTTGGAATCACTTGTTGAGGAACATCCTTAAATTACTTGATTATTCACTGACGCATTTTTTGGCAAATTGGTGATGGTCTGGCAAAGGTCTAGGCCTCTCCTGGATGCTCCTTTTATAGCCAAGCATGATTGCTTCACCTATTTAAGAGGGTTTTTTTGAACATTTCACATTTCTAATCCTTAATTGGCCCTGACCCAACTTTTTTGGAAAATGTAGCAATTTCAGAATGAAAGTAAACAAAGTAGATTTAGTAATCACGGCTTCCTATTTTGATTTGCATTTTATTTTTTGGAGATTGAGGTTTAGATATCAAAAAATAATGGTAATAATAATAAAACATTCTCAGAGAACATGTCTCTCCTTCATCCTCTCCCTGCCTCTTTGGCTTTCTTAGGACAACATAATAACACCACCATCTCTCTTTCTCTCTCTGTAATTTTCCCCAGCTCTGTCTCCTCTAACCATCCTTGTCTCTCTGCTCCTCCCAGCTCCACCTCCTTCTGTCTCTGTTCCCAGCCACCTCCACTCGTTTTTCCCGAGTTCATACTGGGGCGCCATACATTATTCAGACTAAACGGGAGGTTTTCGGCTGTAAATTATTCATAATTAAGGAAAGCGTTTTTCAGAGGAATTCAGTGTCTTTCAGCCTTACAGTTACTCTAGATTTTGTGGAACTACTTTACGTCATAACAGAGGGGCTACTATAAAATATTGGATAGTCCTTGCTGCTCTGCAATGTGCTAATACGATAAGATGCATTGATTTAACGAGATCTGATCTCTGTTCTGTTACTGTGGCACTGAGAATGTCGTTGTGTTTGTGACGCAGGGAAAGCATCCCTTCAAGCCTAGTCGAAAATGCTTCACATTGTCATTGGGGAACTAAATCCTTTTACAGCTTTAGTGCCCGTTAGAAGAGGAGCTGAACTTGAACATTATCATTACATTTATTTTACTTGAAAAGTTTGCAGCAGAAATCATTCTTCTCAGTTGTAACTTTGTTTTAGCTGTTGACTGTTTTTATTTTCCTTTTGTTAAGATGTAACTGGAGAGTATGTGTAGTGATTTTGGAAAATGGACTGCATTAAGTGGCTCACGTGTAGTTCACAAGTTCATGATGCTGAGTTATAGGCATCCAGGACATGCCAGAGACAGCGTAAGTGCTTGCTGTGTTATTCTTTAACAGTTTAAGGCCGCATGTTACGGCTGAAACCTTTGCAACATTTATTTTTATTTTAAATATGAATAACTTTACAACCACTTGCAGCATGCTGTAAATTCCACAATAAACTAGAGAAGCTGAGCTTTATGTGTGTATATACTATATACTATGGGTGCCAAAGGTATTATTCTGTTACACACTATTTTCAACCTTTACACTGAATATTTGTGTTCAGTAACTTGTGTAACTAAAAAAGTTGAGTTTGAGTTTGTGCTGCATCCAGGTACACATCACTTTGTGGTAGTATAATACAACCCCAAATGCACTTAGCCACTTTAATGCTTTGTTGTAAAGAGCTAAGTGCTCAGAAAACCACAGTCTGTGATGCCAGTTATCAGCACAGATTCTGATAATAGTGAAGTTTTGAGTTTTCACTGGGACAGAACCGCTGCTCTGCCTGTAGATGCTGCTGTGAATTTTCTCAACTTTCTGCTGGCAGAGGGTTTGTGCTGAGGTGTCCAAACCAGCACCCTCACTCAATCAATACCGTGGATGGCAAGAGGACAGCCAAATTTACATAACCAAGCTTCAGTAAGGCCAAGTTTCAAGAAAGAACTGTCTAAATATCTGCAAACATAATGCTTGTTACAGAGGCTACTTTACTGATCACTTATTACTTAGAAAGTACTACAAACTCTTCAGTAACTACTCTGAGAGTAATGTGTAAGTTATGTGGTTATTGCAGTGAAGTGTGAATTGAAGTGTAACCCCAATCAGGAATTGACTTTTCCATGCTCCACCCAGACAGGTTTTTTGAACAAGCTTTTCAATGTTGGCAAAAATCTTATTCATGTTTCTTCAGGGTCGCTACATAATATTGAGTTTCCAGTTTAAAATGCAACCGAGCTGAACCGTGTTGTTTTTGCTGATAGAAATGAGGCACATTGGAAACTAACATTAGCTGGATTACACAACAAAACAGTCTACATCTGATTTATCCTAACATTGTAAACTTTCACCTGCATAATAAATATCATGTGAAATTAATAATGCAGGTACAAATTTACATATCCTGACAAAAACTGAGCGCGCTACAATTTCTCATTAGGTTGAATGTTTCTTTTGCAACTGTCTATAAAGCTTTTTCGACTTTGCAATAGTTGCTATGGAAGAATGCATTTGTGGTCAGAGCATGGATAGATCGATTGCTGCAGAGCATCATAGCCACACCTCCATTAGCTCCAAGTCTGCCAACAGTGGGCACAGTAAATGTAAGTGTTTTGTATGTTGCTCCAATTGTTGTTGATCAAAAACTACTGTTGTTGCAGTACCATAACTGTCCTGCTAGTTTTCACTAGGGTTCCAACATGAAAGAAAAGGGAAAGAGGGGGTCTGCAGGTTGGAGGCTAAGACCACGTTGAACATCAAAAGCACAACTGCAAATGTGAAAGCCAGTGATTTACTGAGAAGAGGAAGGGGCATTGGCTCTTGTAAACTCAGCAAACTAAAGGATTCTCCTCTCCACAGGGAAGCTCATTAAGAGCCTGGAGTTAGCACCTCGATCGATATTGGAGGGTGAGCTGTATGGATAAGGAGAGAGTGAAGGGCAGAAGGGGAGAGAGAGGGAGCGAGGGAGAAGTGAGGACAGCAGAGGCAGGAGGACCTGCCAATCATGGCTCCACAACAACCCAATAGTCTGTGACGCATTTTCCAGACAGATATAATCACAAGTATTTGCACCTGTTTTGATTGTTCCAGCTACAAAGACAGTCACAGAATATCTAATTAAGATCAGACCTAAAGGATATAAATGATGTCCCAGAACAATTCAAACTAAATATATGAATATATAGAATGTTAATGTAATGATTCTTTGAAAGATTTCCATCTGAAAAGTAGATCTGTAGTGTAAAAGGCAAGCCCTGCGAGACATTACCTACAAAGTAACCTTAAGGAATACTGCAATTACTCAGTAACTGAGTAAAGGACTCAGCTGGTCCTAAAATAGAACGCAGGCCAGCACAAGTAAATAGCCCTTGGCCGTATCAATATGGTTCTGCTTCTGTTTTCTGTTTAATTTCACTGGCATATTTAGGTCAGCCAATTCCTCAGGATGTGTGAGCATGTGAATTAAATCTAACATGGACTGGCCCATATTTTCACCTAGTGGGATGAGCCTCTGACGTGTCCTCCTTCAGTCTGCAATGCAGAATTGGTGTGCAGGCCCACAACTGGAGTAGGCAACACATACCGGGAACAATATGTACAGTTGTACTGTAACCCAGCCACCCTTATGTGCAGTTCTATGCCAAAAACTGAAGCAAGGTGCCCACTGTAATTGCTGGTATTTAACTGATCATATCTGTGACTGTATTTAGCAAGTACTTAATAAGTGTCAGTGCATGAAGTATATGCCACTGATCTGGAGTATGATGCGTCAGAAAAAAGACATACTCCAAACATACAGGTGTAAAGGCAGTAGTGCATATAGCAGGCTGTCATTGCAGAAAGGAGGTGCAGAGCAAAATGCTGAGCTACTGTAATAAACGTGCTAGTGGTACTGATCGCAGCACACACTCTTAAGATGGATCTTCAAGGGTTCTTTAGTCAAGGGAACAGTTCTATTTAGAACCATGAGTTCCATATAGAACTATTTCGTGATTAAATGCTGCTTTGCATGGTGAAATGGTTTCTCAGATTGATGGAGTATGTGTTGCACATGGTTCTATATAGCACCAAAAAGGGTTTTTCTATTGTTGGGATGTAAAGCTTGTAACAGAAGAACCCTTTTGGGTGCTGTATAGAACCATTCTATGTAGAACCATTTACACCACATTCTCCATTAATCTGTAGAACAGTTTCACCATGTAAAGAACCATTTAAGCATTAATAATTTGTTCTATATAGAATTCATGGTTCTAAATAAAAAGCATTCATTTTACCACAGAACCCTTGAGAAATAATCCTTTTTAAGACTGAAGGCTTCAAAGTAGACTCAGCTTTGGATGCACAGAAACGATATCACAGAAATGCAACCTTACATTGGGACAGCGTGTGGTTTTCAGAGCATGCAGGTTCTGATTTATGTGCAGTATCAGCTCTAGCTTACCTGGGATGCTACTGCTCAGGGATGGAGTCTGCAGGCTGCGTCTTCGTGCTCTGCAGCGATACAGTGGCAGCTCATTCGATTTCGAAGGCAAAAAAATGACCTATGGTGTTTCGAATCTGCTGCACTACGATGTACTATCGCAGTTTGAATGAACTGTGCAAAAACGGCTGCGAAACGACTGGCATCGTTTCTTCATCTACGTCTAGCTTTACTCAATTGTTTAGGCTAGAGGGCTAAAAAAACATGCTAGTTGTCCACAGGCATCTTCCACAAGTCAGCTGCATCCCCGCTTAGCAGCGCGCACGGGCGGGTAAACTAGCAACCCAATGCCCTTGTTTTCTGCAGCCGCTAGGGGGCGGGGCCTCTCGGCTGGTTTCTTGCTTGACTGACACGGCCTGTGACCAATAGCGGTCCGCGCATATCTAGGCGCTCTCCAATTGAACCTCTCCAGCCTCAGTCCTGTTGCTATGGTGGAGAGAGCACCCCGGAGCTGTGGTCGCAGATCGACTCCACCACTGTAGTTTTCATTTATTTAAGTTACAGTCAAACAGTCCATAAGTGCATACAATATATTTAACAGAAATGTACGCTTTTTTCAGTATTTACGGTGTCCACTCTCTGCCTTTATTACAGCTTCCAGTTTTCCAAAGAAATCTGCAGGCCTATTTTTTAGTCTTCTAGCAAGTAATTCCAAACACAGTCAATAATTTTGAGGTCTGGGCTCTGGGGCAGACAATCAGTTGTTCTGAGAACACCATCAGCTTCTCTGTTTGATTTGCACATTTTCTTCTTTTTGTCTATTTCCTTTTCTCAGTAAAGGTGTCTTGACAGCTACGCATCCTTTGAGACTCATGGCGTCGTCTTCTCACAGTAGAAAGATGGACAGAAACACCTGTGGATGTTTTCAGATCTGAGGGGAGAGTGGATCTCTCTCAAAGATGAAAGCTGTAAGTGCTGTTTTTCCAGTGGTGACAGATTAGGTGGTCTGCCAGATCTTGCACTGTTGTTTGAAGTCCCATTTTCTTTGCATCTTTTAATCAATTTTAATGGGATGTCTGGAAACTCCTATTTTTCCTTTGACTTTTTCCCCTTCCTTATACAAGTGGATTATCTTATGTCTGATCTTCTCCTTAACATATTTCCTTAAAATGAATAACTTGATGACCACTTTAGTTGGAAATGAAATAGATGAGTGGTGCTCTCTGACAGTTATGTATGTAGGTACTATATATTGATGGCCATTTTAAAAAGAGAGACGTGTTGTTTTGGACCATTTTATTAAAATATTATTCATTGTATTATTATTTTTCATTGTGTTTTTATTTCAAAACAAGTATTTGTAATGTTGGCATTTCACATAAAAATGGCACACAATAATAATCAGTGCATTACCTCTAGGACTGAATTTCATCACTACTTTTTCTCTACATATGACACATTATATATTAAAAAATCATTGTGTTGACAGTGCAATGTACCTCTTGGAGTGAATTCCACCACTCTCATTCAGCTCTATTCATACCAGGGTAATTATATGACATAGTAACAGATGCTTTGTATGGCCTTAGCACTTGATTTCTTGGCTCTCTTACCTAGCATAGCTGTCAGTTGGATCTGGCCTAACATGCTAGAGAAATCACTGACTATGTCTCAGGACAGGCAGTCATCTTATGTCTTAAAAAATGAAAATGTCCATAAGGTGCTTAGTGAAGCCTGCTCTCAGTTGGATTCTCGTATGACCATGTGGGCAGAGCTGGCTCTCATCAGTTGCTCTTCCTCTAGGGCACTATGGGATCTCCATATGCACAGCTTTGCTCGATGGCGAGGTTATACCAGTTCCCTTTACCTCCTTTATACGCACTGGTGACTATCCGGGCCCAGCCTGCCTCCCCCTGTGGACAAAAGGCCAAATTACACGTACCCTTAACACAGCCACACTACTGCAAGGATCAGTCTCAGCTTAAGAGATGTAAACAATTTCCATTACATTGTGTAAACACTTGCAGTTACATAGTATGACCAAGACTACATCAAGTTAAGAGTAAGGACTATTTCTTTTCTGACATCAGCCTTTAACCCTTAGAAGCACAGTTGTTGAAAACAAACGCATACTGTAATTCAATGTTAATTATTGTTCATTCATAGCTCAAAGGAGAAATTCTGTCATAAACGAGAAACTTTGGAAAGGTCTGAACGTGTAATTCCACTTATTGGTTCTTTAACCACACAATAACCACAGTGATAGAACACACTTTATGTTGTAGCCCCTTTCACACAAGCACTTTTATATGTGTATTTAAGCCTGAGTTTAAATCCTGGTTCCACGGACGCTGCATGAGACCTAGTACACTTCCTGTGAAATAACTGGGAGGGCTCATGTGAACAAAAGTCAATATGTTACTAGGAAAGACTTTGATTGCATGTTTCAGCAACATCTTCATTTTTAGTAGATTTTTTTTTTTCCGTTTTTTGCGTAAAAAAAACAACATAGGAGTGTTTTGTATGATTAGAGTGGCACAGCACTTGAGATAAGCAGCAAAAATCTGCCCCTACTACACAAAAGCCATGCAGCATGGCCAGCAACATTTCTGTGGCGATTTTGTTTTTACATTTGAGTTTTCAGTTTTCACAGAAGAGTCTGAATGACTCAAAGCCCTAAAATTAGCAGTAATTGTATCCAAGTAATGTACTAGATGCTCACTGTGAAAACACTACATAGCTTTTTTTTAACACAACAGAACTGATGCACATGTAGCAAAGCTATTGTATGAGAACTGACCCAAAACTCTCCCCAGGAGTTCCTCACTATCCAGTACTCTGTGCCGTTCTCATCCACACCCCAACCGGCGACAGATATGATGTGGTTCATGAGAGATACGATATGAAACTCTGCAAACACCCCTCCTTGATATGCCTCAAGTCCCTTAGTCGCCATGATACCACAGCTGGAATGGAAGAGAGAACAGGCTGATGCAGCACATACAAAAGTGATAAAATAATGTTTTATCATATCATCATATTGTATTGTGATTCTGTTATTATATATTGTGATTGTGATATGCCTTGCGATATATTAAAAACATAACTATGAACCTCTGATATGCAGGCCTGGATCAACTAGTGGGTTTTATGGGCATGTGCCCAGGGGACAGAGCAACTTGGGGGCCCCCCGCAAGCAATTATGAGAAAATTTAAACAGCTGTTTTGACTCGAGGTGAGGACTTTACTAGTGGCACAACAGGAAAACTGAATACTATGTCCTAACAGCAAGCGACGTGAGCGACAACAAAACCAAAACGCTTCCATTATAAAAAACAAAGCTGTGTGACGCAGCGTTTTTGACAGACGCCCCTTTTCTCTTTTTGACACATTGCTTCATTCAATTCCACCCTAAAATAGATGACAAGAAAATCTTCCATGAAGTGGAGAAGAGAGGGATTTCTGCGAACCTTCCAGCAACAGTTTGGAGAGAAACAAGCAAAGCTTTCAGGTTTTTAGCATTGAGCTAGCATTCCTGTGAATGTACCTTGAAAATGAAGCTCCAAATAATTAAAGAATGTGTCTGAGGTATTTGTAAAAGTGAAATGTGAAACTTTGTAGTAAAAGATACCCATTTCCAAAGCTTATTTAGCTAAAATGTCAACCACTCAAGTTTATCAGTTGATTTGTACTTGTTTGCAGTGATCTGCATCATTAGTGGTAAGATATACATGGAAAAAAAAAACAAACATTTCCACATCCGCCGTGGCAGTATGCTTTAGCTGGACTACTTAAGTTTGATGCTTTTTTCCATCTTTATGCACATTTCAACCATCTGACTGTAATTTAGATCATCTACACTGGGGTTAATGTTTTGCTTGTCAAGAAGGGATGCGTGCTTTATAGGGAAATGTTGCACTGGTTGTTGGGTTTATGGTAACCTGTGTTCTTATTAATGTGTAAGTATTCTTGCCACTGTTTTGTCTTAAATGGAAAAAAATGAGATAATGGTGACGTGCCAATGCGGCTGCCATTGTGGTCCTTTTTTAATTTGCTGGTATTTCATTAAAAAAAAAATCACTGACCACCCAAACAAGGTAGCCACGTAGGGGCCCACAAAACATTTGTGCCCAGGGGCTTATAACTTGATGATCCAGGCCTGCTGATAGTTAAAGACAGTCTGCATTATTTTGACCAATATTATTTACATTTGTTGGATGACTTGAATTCATAAAACACCGACAGACACACAGTGAAGGGACATCTGGGGTTGGTTGGAGGCGCTCACATGACAAACAATTTTGTGAATAGTAAAAGGCGTATTTGCATATTGTGTTCCGATATTTTATATGTCAGTACGGTGTAAATACTGTTGTAACATGGAACATTCATGGAATCATTAAATAATTAGGTTTCCATTAAAAACTTCTGGATACATGGAGTTTTGCATTGGTACAGTGAATACAAAACAAGGAAGAGGCTGATACAGAAATGCTACCTGATTAAAATATTGCACCAAACAGAAATTCTGAAACACCTCCTAAAAACAGTAGATTCATATGCACTGCAGGTCTGAGCTAGGAGCCATACCTGATTGGCCCATTTTTGTAGATCTCAGCTTTCATTTGGTCTCGTCCTGAAATCTCCCCATAGTCTCCCACTTTCCACACAGTATAGTTCTTCACAATGGAACAGGACCCAAAGAATGAACAGGTGCCACACTGGTTAAATGGATCACATTCTGTACATACACACAAAAGACCACAGGATGAAAATCACTGTAAGAAGAATATTGTTTGTCTCAATATGTTTGATCATTACTGTTTACATGTTGGACTGTAAGTTGCATATAATATGTTATAACTGTATGTTAACTGCATTTACACGAACAGATTTCACAGACTCTGTCATCGTAATCTAATTCCTTAAACTGCAGACTTATTTTTTGTCTTTAATCTTACAACTTATATTTAGTAACTGCTATTAAAAACTATTCATAGTAAAAAGGAAGTGGGGTTTACATGCAGGCCCTTGCAGTTTGAGGACTTATGTAGGCATGCATACAATGCACATATTCTTAAAACATGCTATGTTTTGTTTAAAACTCATAGTTGATTGGTACAGTTAAGTTACTTATTGAGAAACATTGCATTAGCATTAATAAAAGATACTGTGAACTTACTTTGATTTTTGGCTTGGTAATTGTTGCAGGTCTCATCTGGAATGCCCTTCTCATGTGCGTAAGCATACACACCCAGATGGTCTCCTCCATAACAAGACCCCGCCCTTCCACAGTCGATCACATTCTGAACCGACAGGTAGGCTGATGGCCATGCCCCTTTCCTTTTGATGTTTATACGATCTTAATGAGAAGACAACAACCAAAGACAGTCTTTGCTGAATTAAAGATTTAAACCATTTCATATTATGCAGTCTTCTAAAAGCGACTAACACTTACCCCAATAATGAATGGAAGCTAATAATCATCAACACACGCAAAACAGCATAGGTGGGCAGAGTAGTCAAAAATCTCATTCAAGTACAAGTCGTTGTTTCAATCTTATGATTATTCAAGTGGAAGTTAAAGTAGTGACTAAAAAAAACATCTTGCGTATAAGAAATATTTGGGTTAAAAAGAAAAAATTGGATTATAAACTCCACCTGAGTTCCCTATAGAACTGCTGTGAAACTTCTTATAGGAATGCACAATTGGATGTGGCCAAGATCGGAATAGGCCAGCTGTTGCTCCAAACATCCATTTGGCCAATTTAAGATTTTTATTTTGGTTGATCTGTGTTGCAATTTTATGACGTAAGCAACATGAGGCAGGTAAGTGCACTTGCTCTGCATCTGAATGGCCCTGCTCTACTTACAAAATGTCATAGCATAATTATGCAATACATAACCCATTATGCTAAATAGTTAGTTGCCTCTTACAAAGCACTTCATTTTATTCATATAATTTAAGTAGGCAATTTTCATTTACAAATTTAAAATGCCAGTTTGGCTTGTTAAGGACGAAATACTGTTATTTATACTGTAACTTTGGCAATTAGAAAGTACTGGAAATGTGCTGGTGTGATTAATATGTTCATTTAACCCATACATTGGATATTTTGGCTGTAAAGATGATTGATGCATCCCTGACTTCTTAAATCCAGCACCTATCAATATATGAACTGAAGGTTGTTCAGTGCTATTCTTCTTTTTGGAATCCTTTGGTCTAAAATAAAATGCTTAAGCTCCTGAGTGAGAGGTGTAAGTGACATCAAACCAATCCAGGTGCTATCAACAACATATCAGAATGAATAAAAAGTCAACGACGTTAGGGACTAATTGCAAAGGAATGAAATGGATCCTTTCATCACAAATACACTTGAGTGTGAATCATTTCAAACCATTCAGTACACTGTACATTTTCACTGCACGTGATTTTCCCAGTTCCAACACACTAATCTGAAACTTTATTAAAATTAATTAACGAGCTGATAATGAAACAAACAGCTCCAGTCTGTCCTACCCGCAAGTGCGCTGGTGGCCCCCATGGCCCAGCATGAGCCGCAGTACTGCGGGATGTGCTGGTTGCGCGTGACGCTTACATAGTTTCTCCCATCGACACGCCGCCAGTCCCAGACTGCAGGAAGGTCTGAGGCATTCAGGTACTCATGAGGCCTGGGGTAAGTCCTAAGAAAGACACATGAATGCGTGAAGAGCTGAGTTGCTGGGGTTCTTAAATGCAAAACACCTCATGGACCTGGATTTAACTCACTCATTCAAATATTCACTCACTCACGATTAACAAGATTGTCCACATGGGGGAGCTATTGGCACTCTAGGAAAAAAATCACGGTGGGCTGGTGAGAAAGTGAGAAATGCATGGTTTCTAATGTAGTCATATATTAAAATGAACGAAGACCGCCCAGGACAAATAGTATGTGCCAGGTTATAACTGTAGTGCACATACCTACATTCATTGGTGGCCCACTGTGTGCTCAGCATGTGGTCATTGGCCAGTCCCGCAAATGCCACTGCCCCCAGAAGAAAGCACTATAACAGAGTTTCACTTTCACACATTATTCTACCCCAACCTACATAGGTCAGCTAGGTTACGGTAAAGTCCACTGGCAAAAAGCAATTAAACAAAACAAAAAATATTACTAATAGAGTACTACATGCTGGAGCTTCGCATCAATGACACTTTGTGCCTTAGTTTTTGTATGAAATTATGGTTATTCATATGTTGGAGCTGTATAACAGTGCAACTGTATAACAGTGCAAATCAATTTATTAAATGTCTTAAGAATTCTTCTTGTTTTGGAACTTCCTATGATGATTATCATTATTATTATTATTATCATTAATAATAATAATTATTATTATTATTATAATTATTATCATTATCATCATTATTATTATTTGTAGCAGTAGTAACAATAGTAGTATTATCAAAGAATTTGTAGAGAGGAGAATTACTATTATAGAATTACATTACTATACTATGTAATGTCCGGGTTTCTCAAATGCTAGAGGGCGTTCCTGAGTGAGTTCAAAATGAATGGGTTAATATGGAGCATTTGAGCAAAAATCATAGTTTGTAAATGCTTCAGCATTTTTAATATAAAAGAAGACATTCGTTTCCAGAACACACAACAGCATAAAACAATTTAATGCTGCTGTTATATTTTTAAGAGCTTCTGAACTTGAGTTACAGAGGTTTAAAATGGTGCCTCATGTACGTTCATGACATCAGTGAGCATGAAAAGCCAAGCTGCTCCACTTGCCCACCAATCAGCACCCAGTAGCACTAATCCTAGCATCCTGCTTCCCCAAACCCATCTGCTATAGCATACAGGTAAGTTTTCTTTGTTTTGTTTTTTTTTTTAGTGAAATACATCCTTCTACTTTCTACAGTTAAAGGAAAGTTCTTGGCAATTGATCAGAAACTATTTTAACTTATCATTAACATTGCTGAATCTAAATCTTTCTGTCCACTGGCAGGCTGTTTTTCCCCATTTTTCTAATTAAATATTTTATATTAATTCTCTGTTCTGTTCTTATTCTCTGTTCATATTGCTCTTATGTTATTGTTTTGCCATCCGGTGACCAGAGGAGGATGGGTTCCCCTTTTGAGTCTTGGTTCCTCTCAAGGTTTCTTCCTCTTGCTCTTAGGGGGACTTGGACCTGGATTTTTCTGCTTTGTGATAATGCCTGTTGTAAAAAGCACTGCATAAATAAACTTTGATTTGAAGTGACTTGACTTGCTCACAGGTGTCCTCTAGTGTTTTGCAGTCATGTTTTTTTATATAATAGGGGGAAATGGGAAGTGGCCAGGATCCTCTTAATCCAGGTCTGGTATTACTCCAATTATAAGTAGTACTGTTATTCTTAATATAATAATAATAACAGCCAGAAAATCTCACCATGCTTTTACTTTTAATACTTAAGTACATTTAAAAGGCAGTACTTTTGTACTTTAACTCTAGTAGAAATTGTAGACAGAGAGCTTCCACTTTTACGTAAGTAATTTTTAGCAATGGTACAGTATCTTTACTTTCAAGTAATTTTAGTAGAAATAGTAGTACTAGTAGTAATAGCACTAGCAGTCATAGTTATAGTAGTAGTAGTATTAGTAATAGTGGTGAAAATAATAGTAGTATTACTAGAAGCAGTAATACTAATAGTCTAGTAGTTACATAGTAAAGTTCTTTAGTAAAGAAAATGGTTCTATATAGAACAATGAACACTCAAATAGCCCTTTGCATAGTTAAAGGGTTCTTTGCAGTGTGAAAGCGTTCGTCAGATTGATGGATAACGTGCTGTAGATTGTTCTATATAGCACTAAAAAGAATTGTAGTTCTAATGTCAAGCTTGTAACAATAGAAAAACCCTTTTTGGTGCTATACAGAACCCTTTTCAAAAAGGTTTTATATAGAACCGTCTACAGCACACTGTGTATATGAATCATCAATCTGAAGAACCCTTTGACGATGCAAATTTATAACATAAAATATAGAACCATTTTCTTTCCTAAAGATCCCTTTAAGAACCATCATTTTAGAGTGTAGTAGAAGGAATAGTAGTAGTAATAGTATTAGTCTAGTAATAGTATCAGTAGTAGTAGAAATAGTAGTGTTAACATTTGTAGTAGTAACAGCATCAGTTTTACTAGAACTAACAGTAGATGTAGTAGATCAGTAGTAATCATAGTAATAGCATCACAATTAGTAGTACTAATAGTAGTAGTCATAGTAGCCTCAGTAGTAATTACAGTAATAGCTCCAATATTAGCATTACAAACGTAGTAGGATAATAATAGTGGTAGTCTAGTAATAGCACCAGTAGAAGTAGTAGAAACAGCAGTAGCAGTAATAACAGTAGTAGACCGAATGGTAGTAGCAGAATTAGGTTTTCAAATGGGCTTTCTGGATTACATCAGCGACCTCCTAAAAGAGACTTCCTGTGACAGCTTTTTGAAACCGGGATGTGAGCTCTGAGGCAAAAGCCAAGGGTCCACTAACCAACACCCTACCTCTAAGAATACGGACTATAATAAAGGAATAGGAGCTTGGAGGTCCAGGCCCAAAACCTCGACCTGTAGCCATGGTAGAAAAGAAATTTTGATGAAAGCTCTAAGGCCCAGGCAAGGGTCAAGTAAGACCCAGCCATTTAGCCTCTAACTGTGAGCTGTGAGGCACAGGGCCAGCGTCCTCGCACCAACCCCCAGCCCCTTAGAACAGGTATGGGTCCAGTGCACAAGACCCAGCCCTTTAGTCTTGATAAAAATAAATTTGGGATGAGAGCTCTGAGGCCTTTACTCCAGCACCCAAGACCCTGCCCTATCGCACTGTTAGAAAAAAGTCCGTAAAAGAGAGTCTGTAAAATGATCCTTTATTCGCCTGAGCAAACCGGAGTGAACTTTTTTGATAGCGTAGCTGGATCATCGACTAAATCTTAGATACTGTAGGTTACATAAACCTTTTGTGTTGCTAAGCTCACCTTATAAACGAAGGTCGGTCGTCCTTGACTGGCTTGTAACACGAATCCTCGACAGCGCTTAACTCCAAAATATGTAAAACTAAAGCCAAGCAAAACAAAACAGCGTTGACGGGCGCCATGCTGTATTTGTTTTGATGTAGCGCTTGTTTTAGCGCCACCTACGGTAGTGGAGGAGAACCGTCTCTCACTCAACAAGACAAACTCCAGGCTGTCGTTTCTGCGGCTGTCGAAAGATCAGTCGATAATTCACCCACAAAAGCGCCAAAGACATAATGATAATGAAGCTTTTGCAGAACTAATGAGACGTCGATACAGGCGATTGTACTGGTCAATATTCCTGACCATTATTCCCATTATTTACTACGACTGCTGTCTGCTGCTCAGTGCCCCGATGTTTTTATCCTTTTCGTCCTCCAGTGAAAACTTAAGTAACTGATTTAATATAATAGCAGTAATCATAATAGTTATTTAATCATTAAATCATTAATAACTATTATAATAGTTATTAAATCATATTATCATTAATAATAATAACTATAGTATATTTACATAAGAGTAATTTTAGTAAACTTAGTAATAATAGTAGTAGACATAGTAGCTCAGTAGTAGTCACAGTAATAGCATCGATATTAGTAGTATCCTTTCATCGTCCCCTGGAAATTTTATATGGTGTGCATATTATTATTATTATTATTATTATTATTATTATTTTATTAACTACATTTGGAGATATTGAAGGACATTACGTAGCCTTGTCACTACTTAAGAGAAAAAAAAATACATTTAACATCTAATGACCTGATGCTCATGATGTGGATGTCCTGCTCCAGATTTCCAAGATAAAAATAATGAAAATGAATTTTTGAGGATGAGCACGTGCAAAATGTCCATGCAAGCACTGCAGAAGTAATATCCTCCGTAAGACGTGCGTCTTATTTAATTGTACTTGATTTTATCGTATTTTGTATGTTCTTAAAACGTTATAGAACAGCTTACAGTATGTAAGTTTTTTGACCAGTAGAGGGCACCAATCACCTACCAGAGTACACAGGCATATAAATCTGGCCTGTATGTTTCATTTATTTGCACAGGTGGACTAGTTGTAGATTTGTAGTAGTTGTAGTTGTAGTAGTTGCAGTTGTTGTACTACACACAATATTAGTAACAGTAGTTGTAGTAGTAATAATAATAATTGTATTTTTGATAGCAGTCATGGTAATGTCAGTAGTAGTAACAATAATGATAGTGTCTTATTCTGTATTATGATTATTATTATTAGTAGTAGTAGTAATAGTAGTAGTAGAAGTAGTATTAGAAGTACAACCACATTTCCAAAAAAGTAGGGACACTGTAAAAATATAAATAAAAACCGAATGCAATGATGTGCAAATCATTTAAACCGTATATTTAATTGAAAATAGTAAAAAGACAACAAATCATGTTGAAACTGCGAAATCTTATTGTTTTTTGAAAAATATATTTGCTAATTTAGAATTTGATGCCAGCAACATGTTTCAGAAAAGTTGAGACAGGGCAAAAAAGGCTGGTAAAGTTGTGTAATGCTAAAATAAACACCTGGTGGTTAGTTGACAACAGGTCAGTAACATGATTGGGCATAAAAAGAGTAAAGAAGGGGAGGGGTTCACCACTCTGTGAAAGACTGCACGATCAAATAGTGCAACAATTCAAGAATAACGTTTTCAACCTAAATCAGCAAAGAACTTGGGGATTTAATCAATAAGGTACATAATATTAGGTACAAAAGGTACAAAATATTCAGAGAATCCAGAGAAATCTCTGTATGCAAGGGACAAGGCAAAAACCAATATTGGCTGGCCGTGATGTTCAGGCTCTCAGGTGGCACTCATCGCTGCATCCATAAATGCAAGTTAAAATTGTACCATGCAAAGTAAATGCGGGATGCAGAAACGCTGCCGCTTTGTCTTGTGGTTCATTTAAAGTTGGATTGAGGCGAAGTGGACAAGTGTCCTGTGGTCCGACGAATCAAAATTTGAAATTCTTTTTGGAAATCATGGACACTGTGTCTTCTGGGATAAAGATCACCCGACTTGTTATTAGTGCACATTTCAAAAGCCAGAATTCATGATGGTATAGGGGTGCATTAGTGCACATGGCATGGGTGATCTGCACATTTGTGAAGGCAACATTAATCCTGAGTGATATATACATGTTTTGGCATAACATATGCTGTCATCCAGACGTCTTTTTTAGGGAAGGCCTTGTTTATTTCAGCATGACAATGCCAAAATACATTCTGCATGTATTACAAGAGCATTGCTCTGTATTAAAAGAGTCTGGGTGCTAAATTGACCTGCCTGCAGTCTAGACCTGCAGCCTTGGATCACTGTTGAGAACATTTGGCGCATTATGAAACGAGAAAGTACGATAAAGGAGACCACAAACTGCTGAGCAGCTGAAATCGTATATCAAGCAAAAATGGGAAAACATACTTCTTTCAAAACTACAATTTCGCAATTGGTCTCCTCAGTTCCCAAACTCTTACAGAGTGTTGTCAAAAGCAGCGGTGATGCAACACAACCCCCGTCCAAACTTTTCTGAAACGTGTTGCTGGAATCAAATTCAAAATGGGCATATATTTTTCAAAAAACAATAAAATTCCTCAGTTTCAACATTTGATATGTTGTCTTTGTACTATTTTCAATTAAATATAAGGTTGAAATGATTTGCATATCATTGCATTCTGTTTATATTTACATTTTGCAGAGCGTCCCAACTTTTTTGGAAATGAGGGTTTAGTAGTAGTAGTAGTAAAAGTTACCGCATCAGTGTCAGTAGAAAAAGTCATAGCAGTAGAATCACAGTTACATACATACATATATCATCTAAACCGCTTATCCTTCTGGGTCGCGGTGTGGTGCTGGAGCCTATCCCAGCTGTCATTGGGCGGAAGGCAGGATACACCCTGGACAGGTCGCCAGTCCATCGCAGGGCAGACAGACATACACAATCACACCTAGGGGCAATTTTAGCACGTCCGTTGGCCTAAATGCATGTCCTTGGACTGTGGGAGGAAACCCACACAGACACAGGGAGAACAGGCAAACTCCACACAGAAATGCCCCTGGTCACCCGGCCAGGAATCGAACCCAGGCCATTCTTGCTGTGAGACAGCGCTACCCACTGCGCCACCTTGCCGCCCAGGATCACAGTTGACCTTTTGAAAATATCAAACATAAGGTCTTTCACTGGCCTTTTTCCCTCCTTTTTGCAGTATATTTCTGCAGGTATTTTGCAGGTGCACTAAATGCTTTAGTACATCAGGCCCATTATTGAATGTATTATGTTTGTTGACTATACTTTTACATAATTAAATTGTTCTCAATAGTTTAACAGCCTCGGATCATTACTCCACTTTTTGTCCAGTCAGCAGAGTGCTTTGAGTTTAGATTGCCATGTGATCCAATTAGATGCAGCACACTTCCCCTTAAATGCAGCCCATCGCTTTCTGCTTGTCAAATGAGGCAGGTATCTTAACATAATCAGAGTAATTTGTATTGTTCAGTGGCAGTATGCACTCTTATGCTAAAAGCTTGTGCAGCTAAATAGAAATTAAGGTGGCATTTGACTACGGGATGGTAAATATGTCTGTTTATTAAAGAATAATTGTAGAAAATTAGATTTGGCCTGCACTGAGGGAGCTAGCATTAAAGGGGCATTACACAAAACTGTTCAGCCTGGTTCCAGTGGGACATACAAGGAGATCTGAGAGTTTTTTTTTCATATCTGTTTATTTTGCATTATATGGAATTTCATAAATCTTTGTTTCTAATGAAAACTCTACAATGTTGATTACACACAAAAAATGGCATGCATTGTATTGCTTTAAGTGTGTTCAGTTTCCACACACGCTTAATGGAAAATGAACGATTGCCTCGACTCGACAGAGCTGCCCTTGCCTAATTTGGTTATGTAACTCATAAATAAAACTTTCCCCAATGAAATAGTTTTTCCTAATTGATTAGCTCATTTCTTCTAACTGAGGTCATTGTTCTCAGAACAGTTAACATTTAAACAGAATTTACTCAAAGTTAACTACAGAGTTATATAATGCTTGCATTTCTGATATCAAACATGATATTGCATGTGGGAAGATCATTTCATTGCCGGTGTTTTGGCATGGAAAGCTGTAAAGCTTATTTTTCAGGATGTTCAGCAGTCTGCAGATTAAAACTGAAGAGGATATGTAGTGTAATGCAATACATACAAATTAAATGGTAATGGTAGACTGCCTTTGAAAATAATACTTAATATTCTCCACCACTGTTAACAGCACTGAAATTAATTTATTGAAATTTAAGAAAGTATGGAGAACCTCATGTTAGGATGTCAGCTGAGCACATGAAAGCAATTTTGCATTAGCAATTCAAGTGAATGGACTTTTACAGTGTCTCTTTCCATATTAATGATATTTGCTTGTGTGTTAATTTCAGTTTTCCTATCATCTAAGTTATGACCATTGGAGTAAACCTCTATAGTAAACTATATGCTGTGTATGCAGGAGGAGGCTGTAAAATAGGGTGTGGTGGGAGCTCGGGTCATTGAACTGTGTTAAAAGCTTGAGACGGTTAGCTCTTAACTGCAGATTTGCATGGTACAAATGGCCTCCAGTAATGCATGGCAGGATGGGTAGCCCTGGAATTAACAGGACATTATAAATGTTTTAGGGATGATAATGATGATGATCAGTCACATACATAGCAGTGCATAACTGAACAGATAAGCACTGTAATGGACAGTATGCTAATGTTCTGTCCTGCAAATTCTGATGTCCTGATTAAAAAAACATATATTTAATCAGCTTGGTGATTAGTTTGCAATTCAAGGGATATACAGGGTAACACGCGTCATTATAAAGCCATGTTTAGCAGATTCTTTCCAAGGGGGAGCTTTGGGCGCTCAAATTGTTTTTCTGCACAGTGTTGAAAGAGAGGAAACCCACACCAGAAAGATCACACAAATTGTAATTGAAGCAAAATTAAATATTTGGTGTTACAAGCTATGTGTATGTGAAGTAAAACTGTGTTAACACTGTATAATTAAAGCATTTGTTCACCTAAGTCTAGGCTGAACATCTCTGCAGATATC